TAATACGGACACGCACAAAAAACGACTGAAAAGTTTATTTGGTTCAATAGCTGAAATAATATTATCTTTTTTCTAAATAATATGATATTGTTATTTATTCGATTTTATACAGGACGGAATTGGTATATCTATTTGAAAAACCACGGACGGAACTAGTAATCTTTAAATTGCATTATTATATTCGGAACGGAACTCGGATGCAGCCATATTTCGTTATTCTATACACAGTTTCATTGTTAAAGTCTCTTCAATATATAAATCAACGTGAAAATAGTTTCTGAAACCGATTGCATATAAAAAGTCTCATGTTTATAATTTCTCTGGTGTGCGACCCACCAAATACTAGGTACAAAACGCTCAATATTGTTTCTTATTAATAGGTTATTATGTCGTTTCTAAATAACACAATAGTATTATAATAGGATTATATTATGATAAAACATTAAAATATTAAAATCTATTATAAAAATTATCATAAAATACATTCATCGTATTTAATATTTTCTACAACATTTAGTTTAACATAACATATTATTTATAGAAAAAAAATAAATTACAAGCTGTAATATTAATAAATAATTAWATATCCTTCGGATAAGATAAGAATAAAATCATTGTATTATTTTATTGTTCATGTTAATAAATTATTAAAAAATTTAACTGTAAACAGTCAATAATTATAAAAGGTTAAGTTTTAAAATTAAGCATTTTAATATTAATTATATGGGAGAATATTTGATCTTTGAAATTTTTGACTATATATTATTTTCGACTAAGATGCCGCAGAAACAACTCCAAATTAAATAGAATCTAGAATTCATAAAATTATATCTTGCATGCAAATGTACTTAAATAATTTCAGAAAAAATGAATCAAAATATGTTAAAGGATTGGATACCGTTACCGTCCGAAATTAAGGAGTTGTAGGTAGGAAACTTTTGGTTATCTCAGCAATGGGTTATTATATAGTGTTCGTAGTAAATGAACATTGGCGGGAGTGTTGTTAATTACACCCTTCTATCATCGTACCCGTCCAATTCATTGTTGTGAGTCGTGGGTTACCTTTTTTTACACAGTAACAAGTCGGAAAGTCGGTTAAAACGGCTATAGTAACTAGAATTCGTATAATTTATCATCAAAACCTACTAATTTTAATTCATTTACATCATGCTCAGTAAACTTGATTAGGTTAACAAAATACAGAACATAGAGTCATAGCATATAGATTATTGGTATAACCAGATAGTGGAGACTGAACCACTATGTAGTACTCGTCCGTGCTTTTAAAATTAAACATTCCTACGCTTTATTCTCGTCATTTTGATGCTGATACCCGCTTTATTCAAGGCCTACTAGATGGAACAATAGATGCCCCAGATATTCTTTCCTCCATTAATTGCCGTGTACCATCCTACCCCTCAAGGCATCACACACCCTTTCATATCCCCACTCACTCCACCTCCTACGGTAATAACCATCCACTACACCATATGCTTCGCTATGTAAATAATGCTATGTAGGTAGCAGTGGCGCAACTACCGGGGGGGGGGAGTGTCAAACACCGGGGCACAAAGACTACAGGGGCCCTTGGGCCCCAGCCTAAATAAAATAATCTATTTCCATATTTGATAATAAGTTTCACAATAAATATAAAAATCATGACATTTTGATCATTAATATTTATATACCTATTATTTATAATTTATATATAATGACTAGTACAGTGAAATCATTGCATTTATTTTGCATCTTTTTTGTGAATGCTTATATACAGTGATGTAGTCCTAAAAAAAATCATGGGTAAACGCCTTAATCATTGTAAAAAAAAATTTGGGGCCTACGCCCTACAACCCCCCTCCCCCCAGTCATCCCMCCATTATTCGGTACTTGTACAATCCAAAATCTATTTGTCTATATAATATACAATAGAACCTCATAAATTATGATTGATACATTTTAACCTCATTTTTTGAATACGGGTAAACAAGGATCTAAGATAGGTATCTTTAAATCATGGGTAAACGTAAACCCAATCAACTGATCGAGATTCGCTTCTATATATTGTTCTATGACAATAGTAAACAATTTACGACGCTTATCTTTTTTTTGTTATTGAATATCAAAATTTAATATATTATACTACCCAATAATATTTCCTAAATAAATTTTATTGCCTAGGTATAATTGGGTAACGTTAATACGTATGGTTCATGCCTTCATGGTCAGTGTACCCACGAACCACGATTTTCGTTAAAGGTACACGCATGACGCATTAATCTAAAATTGGGAGGTGAGTACACACCGCGGTGTACCCGCGTGTACCCTACACTACACCACTGCTTATAAATATGTTTGGTTTCAGTGTTAATTCAAATACATTTTCTTTTTCTTAAGTGAAAACAAATTTAAAATACTTTTAACAATATAGTTTTCATTATATTACTCTAAAATATATAAAATATTAAAATGTATAGTATATAAATGACTAGTGTAGTCTTAAAAGTTATAATTTTTATTTGTTTTTATAAGAATATTATGTTGTTATTTGGTTGGTAAAACTTTTAATAAATCTATTAACTTAATTTTAATTTGTGGTATTGATAATGAATAGTAATTACCACTTCCATTTCAGTAAACTGATTAGAAACAGTTGTTACAACTTACAAGTGTATAAGTATAAGTTATATCATTAAATACATTACCTAATTTTTTCCTTTTGGCAATTTATCATTTTATCGACCAAATTTTGTTCACAATAATAARCATAAATAATTTTAATTAGGGCCACTTAGTTAAAAGTGACACTAGGGCCCCAGTTAGCCTAGTTGCGCCACTGGACTAGGTAGTCTACTCAGTATCCTATATTCTATATTTATTTGCCACTCTTAACCGTCTGTATATTATTACTGTTCTATGATTGTTTATATACTTTTTGTAATTGCCGTTTGGCGTAAATAAAATAAAATAAATAAATAAATAAATATTAGTTAAATTGTTCAGCTTGTACTCTATTACTCCTGCAATCTTCAATATACGAGTACTACCCTCAAGAACAGGCAGGGTTACTCAGGTGACAGTAGTACTGCATAATATTATTATTTAATCATTTATAATTAAACATTGTACACGTTAATATATCGTATTCAATTGAGTTAATCTATGAACGCAGGTTATAAGTTTCTAGGACCTGTAAAATATAACTTAGGAAACTTTATTTGTATCGATCCAACAACAAGGTTCTCAAGACCGGTTTGTGTAATTATAGGAATATCTAACCGACTGCTTCTTAACTAGGATTTGGTATAAATGTCGACAACCACTTGGTTTAGATAACCAAGTTAGGCGAGTTGCAAGGTAAAATATTCTAATTCGACCGATCTCAAGTAGACTACATGTCTAATTTATATAAATAAACAGAAGTCGTATTGTTTTAATAGAATGATCGGTTCTATTGAAGTTAAACGGGTAATTTTGGCAGAAAAATTGGCAGGTACATAATAACTTTAATTATAAATATATGTTAATGATGTATATCTTCTTCAATTCACTCATAAAACTGTTAAAATTAATAAAGTTATATTGATTTATCAAATTAAGTACCTATTCAAAATGTATTACAGTTTATAATCACACGTTAAGTTGACGTAGTAAACTTGTGTTTTTTGTCGATTTGTGGATAGTATAAAAATATAATAATGATTAATAACGAATAAATAACTCCTAATGTTTATTATTATTTAAAATAAAGTAAAAATTTATATTTAAAAAAAAAATGGATTTGAAAGTCAAAATATTTTTTTGAAAACGAAAAAAAAACAAAAAATTCCAAATAAAAATTAGATACCTATATTCGTTTGTTATTGAAACACGTATTATTAAGCAAGGAAATCATCGTCAACGATATTCTAAAAAAAAAAAGATATATTATTACATCTGAGATCTAGTCATTATATTGAGAAAACTAGCGAAGATATAATATACTTTTCGAAATAATTTATGGTGATATTATAAGACCTCACAGTAATGCACAAAATAATTCTGGTGACTATGCCTCCGTAGCTCCATGTTAGTATTAAATGGTCATTAAATGAATATATTTACTAAAATCAGAGCTAATGAAAAAAGATATACCTATTAAAATCTTGAATTAGCAACATACTATCACAATAAAACAAAGTTGATGGGTATATTGGATTGGGTATTGATAGTTGTGATTTTATAGACGGTGTCAGATAATTTTAAATACATTATTTTTTTTATAATATACCAAGTATAGATAGGTACTGCAGCTTTCTATGTATATTATTATTTTATTATTATTTTATCACCACTACCATAACCCTTTTTAGCATCTGAAGAATCGTATACCCAAAAATTGTCTTTATTCATATTTATTATTTTTTCAATTAATGTTTGATCTGTTTGATAAACCATAAATCAATAATAATTCGTACCAGTTATACAGTTATACCTAAATAATAATACTACTAAATATAAATAACAAAAATGGCAACAAAATATCTATATATTTACCTAAGTAATTTATAACATTTATTTCATAATTTCTGTAAAACTATCTAATTATTAGGTACTAGGTAGTWCATACCTAAGTTATTAACAATCACACTTTATGCGCAGTAGGATCGCATTCATTTGTACCACGAACTAAGATACACAGGACTGAAAACGAATGTTGATGCGAGTACACCTTAATATTTTGATTGTGTGGGGGACCAGGGAATTTCGGTTCTAATCAACACTAGCGCTCAACTCTAGGCCAGCGGCCGCTATCCGAGTTAATGGTTATTATTTAATATTTATTAATTATTATTGATTTTGATATTTCTCAGTTATGCATTTGAACCAAAAAGTTTTGAAAAATAGATTCGTTAAGGTCAAAAAATTATCATAGATTCCATAGCAACTGGCAAGTTGCAACCCAAACATAATACAGTCGAGTCTCGATAACTCGAATTTTTTTTTGTCCCTAGGAAATTCCTATACACTCAATGCAATATTTGTCGCGATAAGTCAAATATAAAAATAGTTGAGCATAGATAACTCGAAGTCATTTCTTACATTTTATCGTTAGAATAACCGGTTTACAATCACAAATGTACAAATGAAATTATCCTATGTACAACTGTTGTGCTGTAAAATAATCGGCA